AGGTAGTACAAATTGATTTTTAAAAAATTCTATTTTCAGTTATTTCCATAGGGTATTTTTCAACAGAAAAAGGAGGGTCTTTACAGAAACTCCTTATACCTGTGAAGATAAGGAATTTCTCTTTTAGTATGTGATTTCCTTTTGAGGTAAGGGAGACAGTCACAGTGGATGGAATTTACCAAGGGAAGAACGTGAGCAGCCCTTATATTACAGCCCCATGGAGACAGCAGTCTGACAGGAATAAAGAATACTTGTTTAATCTACAAAATTCCTCATCTCAATTTACACACCACATGCTTGTGACTAAGAATTGGGGTGATGCAGTTGACAGAACAGTGTTAGTCATCTTCTTTCTCCAACACAGACAATATTTATAGGATGGACACAGCAGAACTTCACAACAGCTTTGAGACTGAGGCAGATTGAAGACAACTAAGGAGCCCTCGTCCCCTCAGTCTACATATTATGCACTGTTGTATAATAGTTGCATAATAATTACTTTCTGCAAAGTATCTCATACAGAAATCCAAAATAAGCAGACATTCCAGACACTAACACAAATTTTCAGTGGCAATTCACCCATAAAATTTGCCAGCAGCATTAAGGGCAATGAAAACACAGGGGAAATTGCAAAAAGCAGCAGCTGATCTGTAATACAGACAAAGCATTATTCTTTGTTAGTAAGAAAGATGAGAAAATTGCAAAGAAGTTGTTCAAGACTAAGAAACAAGTTTATCCAGCTGCTTTATCAACCAGGCAAAATGAAAAAAAGACTTCAATTTTATAACATCTCCTTGTCTTTGACTTCTCCTGGAAACAACAACTAAGTGGCCAAAAGCAGAAGAAAAAAAAAATTCCCCAGTATGCACTATATTACCTATATTACTGAGATAGGAAGTACTTGTGAACAGACAATTTTAACCTTATGCTTACCAAACGAATACCAAGAGCTATGTTAATTAGTTTGCCAACTGTAGGCAAACTTCTTTTCCTTCTTGTTACTGGGTTAAAGGGAACACCTAACACTGGACATGTCATTCAAAGATACACCTTGGTTTTTGAGAAGAGCATGTGGATGCTCCTATTTAGGAAGGGCTTTAAGACAGGTGTCAGATTGAAAAAATCCCTAAGATATTCCATCATTCCTCTCAACTAAGATTAGTGCTCTATAGACTCTATCCATCAAGCAACCATGCCACAGATAAGAACTTCATGAGCTCCAACTGTCACCAAGAAGTTACAGTACAGAGTACTGTTACCTGACATAAGAATTAATTCCCATGGTGGAGGCATTTTATAAATCTTAATCTCAAGTAAAAAGTACATTCGAATTTAAGAATAAACCATTAACTCCACTAAATCTTTTTATACAAACACTGAGGTCAAGCAGTACCCATAAAGATAGCAAACTAACAAATAGCAACAAAAATTTACCAAGGGGAGAAGTCAGCAGCTCAAGGGCACCAAAATGCAAAGTTACAGTACATCTGCCTTCTGCAAGAGATTGTCTGTTTTGGTTTTCTCTGCTCCAATTTATTTTGGAAAGGTACAGTACAGCTGAGGAAGCTTTTTTAATAGGGAGAAGAAGGGCAGTTGCAGTATTTTATTTTATTAGGCTTAGAGACAAAATAGATATAATATGGCTAAGCTAGATCATATCCTCAATTCATTCTATAGTAAAACACTGTTGCATCCAATTGCATGAAAAGAAGTGTTGTCACCTCTTCCACAAACAAACAAACAAAAAAACAACAACAAAAAACAGCCTAAATATCTATCAGCATACCACATGCAAAACAACAGCCAAATCACTCTCTGCTTTGAGCCCCCAGTGTCTACTACACCAAGCCATGACTCCAACTAGCTGTTCCTAAAAATCACTTGGTGCAGACATTAAGAGCCTGAGCTCTCAGCTGGGAGCACTACAGTCTAACACTGTCTGCTCTATTTCAGTCCAGACTACATTTTCAGCCCCTATTAAAAATGTCCCATTGCAAAGATATTTGCTGGAATCTGAGCTTTCTGGTTTATCCCATAGCTCCTCCTCTACCCTCAACTTCTGTGAACCCAACACTGTGAAATTCAGCAAACATTTCTCCCACACCTGCATTTCCACTAGTATTTAGTACGTTAGCTCAGTACTCAGAAACTGCTCTGATCTGCAGCCCACACAAAAACCAGACCAGGCTCTGTTGCCAAAGGCCTGGCTACCCTGTTGTCCCCGTCAGTCTGCAAAGGCCAACAGCCATGCACAAAGACTAGGCCTTCAACTTTCTTTTACCTAGAAGAAGCATGACAAAAGTCTGGTCTACTCTATGAATAGGCATGTTCAAAGAAGCCAATAGAAACTGCTGAAGAAGATACACCATATACATTCTTACAGGTACTATGGGAGTTACCTTAATCCCATCCTTCAGAGAAAGCCTGTGTATTTGTGGTGAATGTGGATTATTAACATGACTGGATTTAGCTATATGGCCCTACTAGCAGCTATGTTATCAGGACTACTTCACCTGACCGTGATATGGATACGGATCTAGATGGACTGGACATCCTTCCAATTTTGCTCAGCCAGTTAGGATTCTTGTATTTGTCTATTCAGATTGAGACAGCTTCTATATTCTTTTTATCTTACTTGAAATAATTGAGAGCTTAAAAATTCAGTCTAAGCTAAGCATTTAATTTACACAACTAGATTGTTGCCACCTTGTCGACTCAGATCTTAGCATTTGGAACTAGGAAAGACAATGCTAGTTAGTTTGCCAGACAAATTAGTGTTAATAGCAGCAGTCACCCATACTAAATCCTACCCTTTTGGGAAGACAAGAGGATTGGGACTTCTCAATGAACATCAAGTTCTGACTTGCAGAACTGTGTCATATTTGTAGAAAGGAATATCCTGTCCAAAGGTAGTTCAGAAGAGCTGTAGAAAGGCAGATTTATAAACTTTGATAGAAATATCTTGATACACACTAATTGAAATACAGAAAGACAGGACCATGACAGTACTCAGAATCCTTTATAGGAACTTTTCTGACTACCACCCACACATCTCCCTACTGGATTCCAGTATATTACATATTTCTTTTGCCATTCCCAAGTTTATTCACAAAGTGATTAATATTTTATTTTCTTCTTATTTTATCCTGACAAACGCCCCTGCAACCTGCCTGACAAGAAATAATACAGACGTAGAGCAGTGTTATACTTTCAAGATTTGAAAAAATTATCCTCGCTTTGTGGATTTTTGAAGAATAAACAGCAAATAGCACAAGTCATGAATTGCCTTCCCAGACACTGGCCACAGCATTGTCAGGCATGGGGTCTCAAGTTGATCCAAGGCAAATAGACACTGATGCGCTTTCATTTCCATGGTGAGAAAAAGTGACAATTTAATCTCACCCAAAATGGCTATTCATTTTTGAAGTGGTTTAAAAACATTCACAGTTTGCAATTAGCACTGCTCTGAACTGACAGACAAGATGGACCATTACTGCCATTTGGAAGAGGCAAGGGAAATGAAAGGAAAACTGAAGGGAAAAGTGAACCATAACACAAAACCACAGCAACAACTAAGGAAAAAGGTTGACTTTTCAGATCCAATTTGAAAACCTCATTCTGCCTTTGTCTAAAAGCCCACATATCTGCAAATTACATCATAAACCACACAGATGCACCAGCATCATTTCAGGAGTAGCACATCCATATGTACTCATATCTCATTTAACTAGATACCAACAGTATTATTATCTATCAGCCTCATTCTGGACACATGCTGTTGCAGACCCCAAGGACATCAGCATCTCTGTACTGTATTCTGCAATGCCTCCACTCAGGAATTACTACAAGCAGCATGTCACCTGGTCTTACTCCTCCTTCACCACTTATGTTCTAGAGGAGAACGCAGGCAACATTTAAATTTTAGCAACTTCAAATGCTATGTCTGATCCTCTGCAAAGCTTTCACCATACCACGTATGTATTCAGGAATTTTGCTTATGCTACTTCTGACAGGAGATTTTTGCCTTACAGGTCAAAAAGCACAAAACAGAGGGCTCTCAACATCCCTTGCTACCCCCACCTTAAACAAAGTATCTTCCTTACTATTCATTTTCTTTTTCAATTAATTTTGAGTGATTTGTTTTCCCCATTCCACCTCCCTTAACAGAGAGCAGGGACAGAAGCTTCCACACCTCCCCTTCCAACAAGATCCATACACATCCATTAAAATTGAGCAAAAATGATAATATTTAAGGTGCCTGGCACCTTGAATATCCAAACCCTTTAGTGCCTTAGCTCACACTGAAAATCTCAACGGTTTAAAGGGTATCACCCCCATTACAAGAGCTTAATTATAAACAAACAAAAAAGCAACAACAACAACAAAAAAATAATCAGCACATAAACCAAAATCAACAAACCAAAAGAACAACAATAAAACAAGTGAACACCACACATTTCCTTTTTTCTGCCCTTTGCTCTCTACCTCCTACAGTCTCCAAGAAACTCTTAAAAACTTATTCTCAGGTACACAGCATATTGTTGTATTGAGGTACAGCTGAAAATGTGAACTGGTCAAATACTAATGAGCTAGAGCTACTTCTCCTTTCATCATTTTCTACGGTGCCCACAAGTTATACCCTACAGCCATTATATACCCACCATCTCTTCCTGCAATAAGTCAAAACAAAATTTTGTTACAGAACAAAAGATTTTGATACAGAATTCCTTTAGAAACACCATACTGCAGCTACCACCACAATGTACTTATTACTCCTGGAGAAATCTGCCACTATAGTCCTTTTGCTCTCGGGATTTCCATAGTTCTCGGACTGACAGACACCGGACTTCAGAAACAATAGCATCACCCAATGCAATAGCAAGTGCAGGTTCAGAAAAGTAGGAAAACAGAACATGGTTTCATACTACCCACCATATTACATTGCTCCTCAGCTTCCCTAGCTCATCATTCACCCTTCCCAGTAAAAACACCTCTCTTACCTGTTCCTCAGCTCAGCTATAGGCAAGAAAACCAAAGAAGTTCAATCTTATGCCCGTAGTTTCCTAGTATGATGCACAATCCAGTCACTCTCTTTGTAGATCCAGGCATCTCATTTCTTCAAAAGCTTTTAATCAGCAAAGTCTCTCCTTTAGCCCCCTGAAAGTATGAGGGGCAGTAAGATGCTGGTAATAAACAGCTGATCTCTTATAAACACCCCTAGGGTGATTCTTTAATCTATATCTTCATCAGTTACATACACTGAAAAAATTCTTAAAGCAGGCTCAGTCAGTCCTTTTAGCTTCCTGAATCCAGCTGGCAGAAGCTGTGAAGGTAATTTGGACAGCTAATAGCTTCATGCACACCACCTGGGCTGGGGCAACTGCTCACAGGTGTATGTTCACAGCCCACACCAACATGTGCTTCTTTCATCGAGGTATATTTTACGTTTTCTACAGCATATATGTTAATTACCTCGCCCCACAGATGAATTGCTAACTCTATCAAGTCCATCTTTCCCACACTGTAGGAAATTTAATGTTACTTTCTTCCAGCTCTTTATAGCATGCACTCCAAATCCATGTGGGCTTACAAAAAATCAGAGCGTAGGCATGACAGGCTGTAGTCACTTTCTACTTGCCCTTTGCCAGTTCACATGGTGCTTTTTTCTTCTTCCAAGACATAAACCACTCAAAAACGTTACCCTGCTTTCTCAGTATACCTGCCCCCAAACCCTCCAGTTGGCACCTCTGTAAGTACTTCCATCCTCCTAGCATGAACATTGCCAGCCTCAGGGCCTGGTTTCGCTTCATTAGTTTCTCACCAGTTGTTCCAGTTCTCAACAGGAATTGCAATTCCTCCTAAATTCCCTGCACAACAGGAGATGTATGTGCTGTGCCATTCCCTTCTCACATAGAAATTCTCTCTTCTTCCCTTCTTTGTACCTATTGCTGAGGATTCTACCTTGCACTCCAACCTAATCTGTTAGACCTGAGTGCTACATTATGTGGAGAATCTTGTTTACATAATGATTAGTGAGACTACAATGATTAGTTGAGCAGACCTCTCTTTTCTCTGCTATAAGTGAACAGGGCCCAGAGGTGCTATGTGCACCCATCTTTGATGACTTTCTTAAAGAAATTAATTGCTGTTATTTAAAGTAAGGAGTACAATATATCTTAGTCTCCAAAAGGAAGTTACTATTCACAGTACATGGGGAAACATCTACCCGAGTCATCTTTGACTTCATAAGTCACAGATCATAATGTGTCCACAATACTAATTACAGCCATAAGCTGTAGAATTAAATTTACGTAAATAAAAGCAATTATAATCATTATTGTTACTGTGGTGAAATTTTATTGCTAACTGTGCCCTCCCTAATCACGATCACCCCAACTTTAACTTCTGGTATTGGCTAGTCTTTAAATTTCCTTCTCAGAGAGATAAACAATTGGAAAGTCCATTTAGTGTAGTCTGAAGCATCACTCCTCACACCAGCATATCATCACCTATCAGGAACTCAAAAGAACTATCCTATCCTGACCTGTTAGTACAGAGTTACTAATCTCGTTTGATTTGTTGTTGAAGACACAAATAGAGCAAGTATAGATGGGGGAAAAGAAGGATTGTAGTTCATGCAGTTTTCTTTCTGTCATGTATTAAGTTTCTGACCAACATCAGGGTTTTCAAGTTTCTAATTAACTCAAATAGGTGTGCAGTTTCAAGACCCAAAACGACAATGTTTCTGAAACAGAGCATATCCTCTGAACTCTCCAGGCTAGGAACTTGGCAAGTATTTCACATACACACAGGACAAGTAATTCCCAGTCAAATGTGTTTAGAGCTACATGTATTGCTCTATGGAACCTATGTTTTTGGCTAAGCCCCGAGACAAGAATGTCCTGGTGAGGAAGTTACAGTTCCAGGTACCCTAGTCACTTAAAGCTAGCAATTACAGATCCACGTTTGCTGACAAGCTACTTTCCTTCCAGTAGAAATTAGAGTGAGCACAAAAGATAAGAGGGTGAAGGATGGTTGTTATTTCCTAGGTCTAATCCCAGTATGAGTCAAGGTGTATCCAGACACTCACTGTTTTCAGCTAAGAAATGCTTGTAACTGGCACTGTTGAGATTTGCCTCATTGACACTTCTCTGTTGTCTTTTATTCTATGAGCATTCTCCTCAGTATGGCTATGTATGCTAGTAAGTAGGTCATTAACTTGTATGTTTCTCTGCTGAGTCTCACATTTGATGCATGACAACCTAAGACAGAATGCTGCAATCCAGGAAGCAATTAAAAAGACTTATGACTGAAGCCTTATAAGGTGTTGTAGTTTGTGCAGTGCTGGGGTGCCAAAAGTTATCACTTTTCAGATATGATACAAAATGTAGGTGTACATTTGATGTACATTTGATGTAGGTGTATAAGTGATGGCTTGCTGTGACCATCACTGGCATTTCGAAAGTTGGGAGGTTTACACTCAGTGAACAAGCAAAACCTTCCTCATGTCATCCTTTTCCACCGTTCTATAGAACCATTTCACATTACCTTGCAGGTACACATTCTACTCTGAGAGAAAATAAAAAGATGAATGTGCTAAGTTGAATTAAAGAGTGAAGATGTTGTTCTACAGGCAGCTGTTATCTCACAGATGTGTTAGATAACTGTTATGACAGAACAAGTGTTTAGTGCACTAACTCCAGTACTACAGACATTTAAGACTGCATAATCTATGCCTGATACTTACTGTGAAAATATATAATGCTATCATTTCATGAAGATAGCACTTTGTCACAAAGAGATACCATCTGTTCATGACTTTCATTAGGGTTGACTACCTTTCCATTATGCTTATCCTTTTTCCTGCATATACTATTAAAGAATATATACTGCTCTGCTTACCTGAGTTAGTACAGATCTCTCCACACCACTCTTCATTTTGTGGCACCTTTTGAACAAGTCAAACAAGTAATGCACACTTTGCAAGACTGACAGTGCCACAATGATTTCTAAATCCACTAATCAATGTTGTGGTAGACATCTGCAAAGACACGTACTTTCAAGCACAGAGTATGGTATATTAATATTCTGAAATCAGACTATGTCCTTTGCATATCTAAAGTTCCCCTGAAGTACAGAAGCAGTTTAAGTACTTCAAGTAAAGTTGAACATTCAACAAGGCACTGTATTGTTACCAATGGCAGTAACTCCTTTCATCTACCAAGACAAGGGACCATAGATTTAGCTAAGATTGGAAGAGCAATTAAAATGCAAAAAGGGAGAAGTAACTTGTGTGGACTGATCTTTTTCAAAAGCAAAAAAGGGACAGGTAACATAATGCATTTCACCTAATCACTTACCAATTTAGCAGAACTTGTAGCTTTGATTTCACTGATATACCAGTGAAGTGAGAAACTGCAAAATCTCTAGTGAGTGGAGAAGAATTTCTTTGTTGGCAGAGAGAACCATGTTCTTTTAAATACAAGATCATTAATCAAGATAAAATCATTTTTTGCACTTAAGGTTGTGTTTGCAACAGGAAATTTCAAGCAAATCACACCATAACGTACTCCTAATTAACACTTAACTATTGCAAATCACTACCAACATTTTCACAACCAAAAGGGGATCTGCATTATCTTACTAATAACTTATTAAAATGGTCAAGATCTTCCTGTAGACTGTAAGAGAACCTAGAAAGTTCAACAAAAAGAGACAGTACAAATTCTGTGATGACCTCTTCTGGATGTAGTTACTTTTAGCGTATGAAAACCCGAGAAACAATTGCAACATCTCAGCATCACACACAAGTGTGTGTTACCACATCTACAAAAGGGACACTCTTAAATGGTTCGCGTTACAATTCTCAGCTTAGTGAAATCCATTGCCAGGACAAAAATATACAAGCCATAGATACAGCAGTCAATTTTTTGACTTACAGAAACAACCTGGAAATGACTGAATGTTCTCTAGACCGTATTTTGTCGTTGTATTTACTGGGAGACAAAAACAGCTAGGTTTCACTGATGAATTGGAAGAGTGGATTTTAGTGCAGCTTCTCAATCTTTTAGGTCAAAGACATCAAAACTATTTGGTATTTTCTTACTAAATACATATTGGCTCATCTCAGCTCATTTCACATTTCTTTTAATCAGACTGGTTTTCTCATACTTCAGCAGAAGGGAGATGCCATTATGCACTTTTTCTTCTCAAGAACCAGTTTATTCTGAAAAGATTGCTGCTCTTTCTCCAAATTTCTAGGGCTAGCTGGATAAAACCAACATTCTTTTCCACAGTTGTCTATACCACTACTGTTCAAAATAATTAAATATCTGGAATAGAAATGAAATGATTTTACTGAAAAAGATTACTAGCTATTATTTTCTTTCTATTAATTCAGCCTTGCCAAGACCAACTCCACAAAACAGAACATTGCTAATTTCAGCAGTTTTGTAGGTCCAACTATAAATTCTCAGCAAATAGAATCATGATGGACTCCTCAGCACTTGCTTAGATGATAAAACAGTAATTTGGAATAGGATAAATGTAGTTACCATCAGGAGATAGCGGCTGTCAATAGTGAGGTAAATCCAAGACAAAACAGGCTGTATTGAGATGATCAGATTTTGGAGTTTCTAAGAAGCATTATGGTTTTTATCTCAGGCAAGAGTCATTCATAGATGGCTTTTTTGTTTGTTTGTTTTTTGCTTTTTGTTCTTTTCCCCCACCAACACAAGGCATGGATTTTGCTGATGGAGAATAGCAGCGATTTCTCCTCTAAACTGAACCAAACTGATACATGTATCACTCCCAGCATCATTAACAACAACTGTATACTCAATAAACCTACAGAAGGCAATGGATGGACAGACTGTAACCAATATATATTTTTAAACAGGTAGATAAAGAAGCAAGGAAAATTACCGATGATACTGGCTTTTGGGGCACCCTTAAGCTTTCCAGCTTCTTCAGGATAACTATTCATGATTTTGACTTACTTTCCCCAGCTGTAACATATGTTACAATGACAACTTTTTCCTGTAATACAAACCAAGATAGGGCAAAACCTCTAGGAATTGAAAATGAGCAACTATCTATACAGGTGGTCAAAATAAGGAAAACAGTATTCTAGCGTTGGACTAGAATTAAATGATTTTTCTTACAAACCAATTATAATTTGCGCTTTCCCTGAATGTTCTGTATAGACGATTATTTCTTGGAACATCTTTACAAAGAACATTGTTCCTGCTGTGGTTTTAGGTACATTCTCTTCCAAA